GTCGGGGGGGAGTGTAGGAGGGGGGAAAAGAGTGGCTTTGAAGTCGGAGGGTTTTTTTAGTGGGTTTGGTATTGGGGGTAGAAGTTGGGGGAATGAGTGGGTTAAATGTTGGAAGGTGGTGGCTTGGTAGTGGCTTAATATTTGGGCTAAACGTTGGAGATTGAGTGGCTTGATAGTGGCTTTGTACTGGGCTTGGAAGTGGAGAAGACTGGCTGAAAAGCTGGAGATATTGCCTTAATAGTGGCTTGGGTTTTCGTCCATAAGTGGACGGGACAGTGGCTTAAGTGGCTCAGAAGTGGGCTAGATAATGGCTCCAAAGTGGCTCCGAAGTTGCGAGAACAGTGACCTAAACCGACGAATTTGAGATGCAATCCTTGAACTTCCGCCCTGTTAAAGAGAGAACTTAATGGGCAGCTTAAGAGACGGAAGGGGAGGTACCCGGAGACCATTAAAGGCCGCAGCAACTAGTGGGCACCTGAGTAAAGAGGATATCGCGCTGGTGGGACGGGGTAGGGGGGGGGGGGGAGGGGAGGAAAGGGGATGGTGCAGGAGAGAGGATGGAAAGCGGATTGGGAGGAGAGAGACAGAGGGAGAGGGAGAGGGAGAAGGTAGGAGGAGAGAGGGAGAGGGAGAGGAGAGGGAGAGGGAGAGGGAGAGGAGAGGAGAGGGAGAGGGAGAGGGGAGAGGGAGAGAGAGGAGAGGGAGGAGAAGGGGAGAGAGAGAGAGAGAGAGAGAGAGAGAGAGAGAGAGAGAGAGAGGAGAAAGAGAGAAGAGAGAGAGAGAGAGAGAGAGAGAGAGAGAGAGAGAGAGAGAGAGAGAGAGAGAGAGAGAGAGAGAGAGAGAGAGAAGAGGAGAGAGAGAGAAGGAGCTAAAAGAGAGAGACAGAGAGAGAAAGAAAGAGAGAACGGTAATGGAATAAGAAAGAACGAAAAAGACAGAAAAGAATCTCTCCAAACGCCCTCCCCGCGACGCCCATGGCTCTCTCTCTCTCTCCTCCGCAGCAAACAAACAAAGAAAGCGCGAATTCTCTTCCTTCTCCCCTTCACTCCCACGAAGCTGGTCAGGGGAAAACAGCGTGAAGGGCCCGGCACTCCCCTCGTCCTCCGAGAAGGCCCCTTAATGCGCCGGCGAGGACGTCACTACCCTGGCTCTAATGGGTAATGGTCCTGAATACGAATGCCTTGTCTGACATCTGTACACACTAGAATCATAAAGGCAGTCATTGTGTAAGAGTAAAAACCGGGGAATCTGTGCCGGGATGTGTCGTAAATCAGGAAGGAGAAAAACACGAAGGAGAATCTCCAAAGTGGAGTAATGGCGGCAATTAAAGCTTATGAATGTTGAGAGAGTCGCCTCCCCCCAAAAAAAGGGTAATGATCACCTGTTACGTCAAATGAATAAGTACAGAATAATAATTAAAGAGCATATAGGAAAAGAAGAACAAGAAAATTCGACTAAAACGACATTTTCACGAGGAAAAAACCCACGCTAGCATCGCATCTCCAGTAGAGGGAAGGAGTTAAGGACCCCAAGACCTTCTACGGCGTAAGTACATCCTGCGCAATTTCCTCCCGTTGCTA